AGTGAGGGAGCCTCTGGCCCCACCCCTCTCTTCCACTGGCCAATCAGGATCAGGTTGATGAGACAGGGGGTGCGGGGGAGGGACAGAACCACAGAACTGTTAATTTACGGTGAGGCGGTGTCTTTAAGTTACTCATTTGATTCCTATCCCTACAAGGACTTAACTGCTGTTCCTCTTTGCAAACCTGGGTGACAAACCTGCAAAGCTGGAAAAAGATCTGGCAATTTCGTTTCACACTAAATATACCTACCCTAAACCACACCTACGCTAAATTCAGTGCTCTCAAGTGTATTCCGACACACAGAGCACACTCCGACTCTGTAAAGACAGAACAGAAAGGTTCCCCAGGGTTTCCAAGGCTGCAAATCTTCCTGAAGCAAACGGTTTCATTTTACCCTGCTAGCAGGCCTAGGGGCTGGTGGTTTCGAACCGCCAACCTTTTGGTTAGCAGCCCACCAGTTTACCTTATGGGCCCCCAGCGCTCCAGACCCATTAACGTCTTACCTACTTACTTAAAATAAGTTAAAGCAGTGGTTCTCAACCGGTGGGTCGTAACCCTTTTGGGGGTGGAACGACCCTTTCACAGGGTCGCCCGATTCATAACAGTAGCAACTTTAGAGTTATGAAGTAGCAATGAAAATAAATTTATGGTTCCTCACCACCACATGAGGAACTGTATGAAAGGGTTGCAGCATTGGGAAGGTTGAGAACCACTGAGTTAAAGCACATTCACAAAAGGGACCTTTCTATCAGCAGCACTTGAAATGTGGCTAGTGTGACCCAAGAATTGAACATTCCACTTCAATTCTTTAAAACTTCGTGGAAAAACCCCATCATCTTTGAATCCTAGTTTTCCACAAACTCTTTGAAGGCCCCTCCTATGGACAGAAGCTACCACATTGATTGGATAGCACAGTTCTGTATCTCAAAATTCTTCCAGTGACACATCCAAGATTTATGTATTTCACAAATCTTTAAAAAGCTAAGCAAATATTGAGCTCTAGTTTGCAGTATGCATACCGAAGTGTTTAGAAGTGAAATGCCCTTAGGTCTGCAACTCTAAAACGCATAATAAGTAAACAGGTGAGTTGATTGATGTGGAGGTGGAGCGATGGAGAAGCAAAAACTGGCTGCTGCTGAGTGCATTTCAACTCATAGCAACCATATAGGACAGTATAGCACTACCCCATAGGGCTTCCTAGGGAATAATCTTTATGGAATTAGAATGTCACAGTTTTTGCCTACAGATCAGTTGGTGGGTCCAAGCCACCAGCAACCTTAGCAACCAAGGTGAAACCACTGCACCACCAGAGCTCCTTGGGACCGATGAAGACAAATGATAAAGTAAGTATAACAAAAATAATAGGAGTTAGGGGTCAGGTGTATAGATATAGATGTACATATCTTTTCATTCTTTCTATACATGTTTGAATATTTTCATAATAAGATGTTGAGAGATGAAATCCCATGTGGAAGGCCCCCATGTCCTCCTCAGAGGCAACCTGGGGTGAAGGAAACAGGCTGTTTTGAGTACCCTTGTCTTCTTTTGAAGGCGCCCTGGTGGCACGGTGGGTAAGTACTCCATTGCTAACTGCAAGGCAGTTGGTTGGAAGCCAGCCAGCAGCCCTGCTGGAGAACAGACCTGTTGATCTGTTCCTGTAAAGATGACAACAGCCTAGAAAACACTCTGGGGCAGCTCTACCTTGTGATACAGGGTCCTTCGGAGTTGGAATCAGTTTGCAAGCAGTGGGTTTTTATGAGTCAGTTCCCTTTTGAGCAGAGGGTAGCGGGGAAAAGAGAAAGCAGGCTTTGGAAACAGACCTGGGTTCACAAGCTCAACTGTTTACTTTTGAAACTGCATGACTGTATTCATTTTCTTCTGCTGCTTTAACAAATTGGACAAACCTAGTTGCTTAAAACAGCACGAACTTATTACCCAACAGGCACAGAAGTGGGAAATCTAAAAGGAGTATTCTGGGCTGTGTTCCTTCTGAGAACTCCCAAGGGAGAATACATAGCCTGCTTTCCCTAGGGCCTTAGTTATCGAGGGCTGTTATAACAGAAATACCACACGTGGATGGGTTTAACAAATAGAAATGTGTTCTCTCACAATTTAGGGGGCTAGCAGTCACAGTGCAAGGTGCCAGCTCAAGGAAAGAGCTTTCTGCATCAACTCTGGAGGAAGGCCCTTTCAACATCTGTGAGCATGCCGTTCCTTGGAGACCTCCATGTGTCTTGGCATAAACTTTCCCCTGGTCTAGGAGGTTCTCAGCACAGGGATCCTGGTCCAAGAGATACCCTACACTCTGGGTTCTTCTTTCTTGGTGATACTAAGGTCCCCCCTCTCTCTGATTGTTTCTCTCTCCTTTTATCCTTGTGAGATAAAGGTTATGAAAGACATACCTCAGGGAAACTCTGTTTACATGTCTCTTTACAAGTCAAGACTGAGCCTCAAACAAAGGTGGTGCATCCCACCCTTGTTCCTTTAAAATTATTGGCCAGTCACATCAGAGCACATGATGGGGTGGTACTATGTCATTCTGGCTGTACATCACCTAGCAACACTGACTCTATCATTATAAAACTGCCAATCATGGTTTTGCTAAGTGGACATATTTGGGGGGACAAAAATCCAACCCATGATATACAAGTCCTATGAGCCTCCTGTATTCCTTGGTTCACGACCCCTTTCATCATCTTAAAAACCAATAGCAGTGTAGAATCTTCAAATCCCCTTCTCTGACATTTACTTTCTTAGTTACATATCCTTCTACCTCATTTTCCTTACAAGGAAATGTGATTACATTGGGCTCACCCAGATAATCCAGGATAATCTCCCTTCTCAAGATCCTTAATTTAATCATATCTGCAAAGTCCCTTTTTTTGCCCTGTAAGGTATTCATAAATTTTGAAGATTAGTACATGGGCATCTTTTGGGGAGCATTGTTCTGCCTACAACAGCAACTTTGAGAATTATCCTTAATGTATTTGATGCCTCATTCATAGTTACCTATGACACTAGGTCAAGACAACACTGAATAGAACAAATATTTCTCCATGATTTTTTTAATAACAGTTTTTTATGACATAACCCACACACCAATTCACTCATTAAAAGTGTACAATTCAATGATGTTTAATCAAAGAATTGTGCAACCATCAGCACAGTTTTAGAACACGTTTCATCTTTTTCCATTCTTGAGTATGAGGAAGCACAGTTTTGGAGCGTCGTGGAAGCACTCAGGGTGACATCTAACTGGCAGGGTTGGGAGAAGATTGGGCTGAAGTAGAAAGAAAATGTTTTGAAAATTATGATGGCAACATATATACTTGACACAATGTATGTATGTATTGTGATAAGATCTGTATGAGCCCCCAATAACATTTTTTTAAAAAGCAAAAAGCTCTACGACAGTGGTTCTCAACCTGTGGGCCGCGAACCCTTTGGGGGTCGAACGACCCTTTCACAGGGGTGGCCTGATTCATAACAGTAGCAAAATGACAGTTATGAAGTAGCAACGAATATAATTGTATGGTTGGGGGGGCGGTCACCACAACATGAGGAACTGTATTAAAGGGTTGTGGCATTAGGAAGGTGGAGAACCACTGTTCTATGACCATGGATAAGACCTCTTGGCCTTGAACTCTTCATTTAAAATATGAGGGTAATTAAATCCATGGTAGGCATCATTACCTGTAAACTGAGCAGGATTAGACTCACTCAGAAAGACCCCTTCCAGCTATGTAATACCAGTCTTCAATGCGGGAAAGATAATTAAAATAAATTCCCTGAGCATCCAGGAGAGAGAGTAATTCCTGAACACAGGGTCACCAGGCACCTCAGACACTGGGACAGAAAATGCGGAAAAACGAGCAGAGAAGGGTGGAAAGAGTTCGGAGGCTGCAGGCAGTGATCCTAGAAGGAGAAACAAGGGCGCTTGAGACCCGAGGCAGCGCTTCCTCCACGCCAGAAATAAATCTTTAGAACGGCCTTGGAGCGCGTTACAGGATCCAGGCCCAGTGTCAGCTCCTCCCCGCTCGTTCGTTACACACGGCAAACCCCGCCTCTCTTCTGCTGGGGATTGGTACAGCCCCGTTGCAGGAGTTAGTACCCAATAAAAGCACGCCTATTGACACGCCCCTTCCTCTGATTGGCTAAAGGATTTAAAGATCCGTCCGGTGATAGGGTAATTTTATACCCAGTGTATTTGAAAATTCCTAGTTGCGAACTTCGCCGTCCCTAAGCGACAGTCTCTGGTCACCTAGGTCATCTGATTACCTGCCTAGGAAAGTGAGTGTACCCCCGAAATTGGGAGGCGAGAGCGTGAATTCATCAAGGGGTTAGAATGTCTACCGGGAGGGTGCAGATGCACGGGTGCGATGAAAGGAGCGGAGGAGCTGGGAAGCGCCTACCGGCTGTTAAGGCTTAATGGCAAGCGTACCACACTCAACACGAGTGAGATAAAATAAACCAAGGCGCTGATTACGTGTTCGCCCCTTCCGCACTTCCCCAAGGGCAATGCCCTTGATTGCTGGGGAGAGGAGCCCGAAGATACCCGTATCCGCCTTCGTTCTCGTGGAAGCAGTCCACTTCGCTACGCGAGGGGCCACTTCGGCGGCGGCCGTGCCTTCGGAACCCCCCGGGGCTCATCAGCTCTGGTGCCGGTGATACTACTGCACCTCCGCTGCTCCTGGATGAGTTGTGTAGTTAGGGTCGGTTAACCACGCCGTCCCTTTACCGGCGACCACCTCTCTAACCTCTGCTTCCTCAATCTGGCCCCCTACCATCCAGTAAGTCCCCTGAGCCCACCTTAACCTACCTTTACGTTTCATCCCTTCTCAGACCTGCCGCGACGATGCTGCCGAGCCCCGAGACGGAGGCAGCCGAGTGCGAGGACGCGGAACTACGGTGCCGCGTGGCCGTGGAGGAGCTGAGTCCCGGCGGGCAGCCACGAAAGCGGCAGGCCCTGCGCACTGCGCGGCTGAGCCTAGGACGCAACGAGCGCCGGGAGCTGATGCTGCGGCTGCAGGCGCCCGGGCCGGCCGCGCGGCCGCGCTGCTTTCCTCTGCGCGCCGCGCGCCTCTTCACCCGCTTCGCCGCCGCCGGCCGGAGCGCGCTGCGTCTGGCTGCCGACGGGGCTCCCGGGCCCGGCGCCGGCACCGTGCAGCTGCTGCTTTCTGATTGCCCTCCGGACCGCCTGCGCCGCTTCCTACGCACGCTGCGCCTCAAACTGCTGGCTGCTCCAGGGCCCGGGCCCGCGCCTGCCCGAGCGCAGCTGCTGGGCCCGCGGCCCCGAGACTTCATCACCATCAGTCCCGTGCAACCGGAGCAGCTGCGCCGAGCCGCGGCCACCCGGGCCACGCCGGAGAAGGTGCCGCCAAAGAAGGCCAGGGCTGCAGCTGAGCACAGCAAAGTGAGGACAAGAAAGAGGGGAACGTTCTGGAAGTAACATGTGCCTTCCCTAGAGATGGAGGAAACTGAGAAGGCCTGAGATTGGGTGAAGATGGTGGTTGTATCTGAGGAGGCTGCTCAGCGAGGTGCCCACCAGATATCTGAGTGTACTGAGAAGGTGGAAATTGTACATGTGCTTCTCAGAGTTGAACCGCAGTCTGGGGAAGACCGCTGTGGCTTGGGCAACACCGTGTGCAAAGGGAAAACAAAGGAGAAAAGGGGCGTTCAGGCCAGTTAAGCGGTCAGCAGGAGCAGCGTTGGCCAAGATCCCTGTAAAATGGGGTAGTATCCAAGTCCAGTGGGTTTGACAGTGTTCGTAGAGTGGCTCCAGTGTACAAAGTCAGAGTTTGCACAGATCATTGGGGCTTGAGATTAAGCAGGAGGGAAGATAGATAAGGGGCAAGAAAGATCCCCTGGCTAGGCAGGGTTTTGCTTGGGTGTATTGAGGCCAGAGAGACAGCAAATGAGACAAAAGGCTGGGGGAGATGACCAGGAGGGTAAGAGAACTGGGAAGGAGCTGGAGGAGGCTCCGAACCCAAGGAGGGGCTTCAGGGCACCAGAGGTCAGTGTGGACCCAGCCTTGGTTCCTTCCTCCAGGACAGGTCTGGACCCCATCACTGTCCACCTTTACCCAAGGGCTCCGAGAAGGTTGTTGGCAGGGAGGCAGAGTGCTGGTTGCAGGCCTAGTATTATACCCAGATCAATAAGGGGAGGAAAGCTAGTTTAGGGGGTGAGAGGGACCCCTGAGATAGTCCTTTCCCCTCCCAGGAAGCTCTGAGGTGGCCCCTGCCTGTGAAGAGGCTGAGCTTGCCTTCCACCAAGCCAAAGCTCTCTGAGGAACAGGTTACAGTGCTGAGTGTTGTCCTGAAAGGCCAGAGTGTTTTCTTCACGGGGAGTGCAGGTAATAGGGGACAGAGAGGGGGGTGGGAAGCAAGGGCGATGGAAGAATAGATGTAACTCTGACTTTGCCACCTGCCCAGGGACAGGGAAGTCATACCTGCTGAAGCGTATCCTGGGCTCACTGCCTCCCACGGGCACCGTGGCCACGGCCAGCACTGGGGTTGCAGCCTGTCACATTGGGGGTACCACCCTCCACGCCTTTGCAGGTAAGGGGGTGTCTCAGGCTTGAGCAAACCAAGCCTGTGGAAGAGGGAGGAGAGGGGCGTTTAGGTAGGGAGGGGGACAGGGCCTCAGCTCAGACTGAGGAATGTCACTCACAGGCATTGGTTCCGGCCGCGCCCCTCTGGCCCAGTGTGTGGCTCTGGCCCAGAGGCCCGGCGTGCAGCAGGGTTGGCTGAACTGCCAGCGGCTGGTCATTGATGAGATCTCCATGGTGGAGGCAGACCTGTTTGACAAGCTGGAGGCTGTGGCCAGGTCAGTGTATGCCATGAGGGCAGCAAGTAAGGTCTGGAGTGTGGTGCTCTTGGTACGGGGATGTTGCTCACTCTAACCCTTATCACCCCGTGCCCCTACCCAGAGCTGTCCGAAGGCAGGACAAGCCCTTTGGCGGAATTCAGCTCATCATCTGTGGGGACTTCCTACAACTGCCACCGGTCACCAAGGGCTCTCAGGCCCCACAGTTCTGTTTCCAGGTATCACTCAGCCTCTGGCTCTTCCCTCCCCACATTTGTGAGTATCAGCTCTGCTCCCTGACCAGCTCCATCCCACCCCACCAGGCCAAGAGCTGGAAGAGGTGTGTCCCAGTGACCCTGGAGCTGACCGAGGTGTGGCGGCAGGCAGATCAGGCCTTCATCTCCCTGCTGCAGGCTGTGAGGCTGGGCAGGTGGGCCCTGATGGAAAGGGGTCTGAGGGGAGGGACACTGGGAAGGGAGAGATGTATTTGTCCTCGGGACCACAGTCTGCCCAGAGAGGAGCGTGGGGCAAGACAAGGGAAGGGTGGACAGATAGATACAGGACCAGCTGGAATATGAAGTCAAACCCTAAAACCCAAGTTCCTTCTGCTCTTCGAGTCTAAGGGGCCCCTGGGTAAGGAGGTGGGCAGTGCTGCAGCCATGGTGCCTCCCCAAGCAGGACAAAAGGTTGGAATGCCATGGCTGCTCTAATGTGGGAAAGGAAGGCAGGCCAGGAGGGCAGGAGAAACGGAGCAAGAGCTGGGGTGGGGGGGTGGATACTGAGGGGTCTTCTCTGCCTAGAACCTCTAGTGCAGATGCAGGAGGTAGATAGGGAGCACACATGGGACAAGAGGAAAGCTTGGTGACTGAGTAGGTGGAGAGGGTCCCCAAGCTATCTACCTCTTCCCATTTGAGTTGCTGCTGGTGTGGGCTCCAGATGGGAAAACTGACACACGGGCTGGATTATTTCCCCCAAGGCAGCAGGTGGCGGTTAGAGGATTATACACTAGAGCAGTGGTTCTCAACCTTCCTAATGCCACGACCCTTTCATACAGTTCCTCATGTTGTAGTGACCTCCCCAATCATAAAATTATTTTCGTTGCTACTTCATTACTGTCCTTTTGCTACTGTTATGAATCGGGAGATTCCTATGAAAGGGTCGTTCGATCCCCAAAGGGGTGGTAACCCACAAGTTGAGAACTGCTACACTAGAGGCTGATCTGACTCTTTGATTAGATCTTCCACACCTCTGCCCTCCAGAGCACTGGGTGAGGGGTGGGGGTGGGAAGGCTAGCTCCTCCCTCCTTACTGGGATCACAGCCCAGCGCTCCCTTCCCCATCCTCACCCCCCATGTCTGGAGTCCAAGTAGGGAAGGGACAAGGTGGCCAACCTGGGGGCTTGCGAATATGGCCCACGTGGGCCTTTCCGACCCAAGGCCTGACTTAACATGGCCTGCTGCTTGGTCATAAAGCCACATGCCTTCCTGGTGTTCAGGTGACCTCTGCCCTCCTGACAGTTTGGTCCCCACAGGTGCACCGATGAAATGACCCGCCAGCTCCAGGCCACGGCTGCCCATAAGGTGGAGCGGGATGGGATTGTAGCCACTAGGCTCTGCACACACCAGGATGACGTGGCCCTCACCAACCAGAGGTGGCTGCAGGAACTGCCAGGTGAGCAGGGAACTCGGGTTGGGCTGGGCCATCTAGAAGAGCCACCAGACAGGTGTGGGAGATCCCTGCTCCCAACCACAGTGGCTGTAAATGCCCTGCCATTTGCAGATGTAACTGTGGGTGCCGTGAGGTGATTACTCAGCCAGTAAGTGCTGGAGCTGAGGCTGGAACCCAGGCCTCTGACTCCAAGACCCCAGCTAGGCGGATCCCTGACCTGGCTCCCCTCTCCTCCACCACATCCCCACATGCAAAGTGTTTTTGGAAACCCCTCTCCTCCACCACATCCCCACATGCCAAGTGTCTTTGGAAACAGCACCTGTGATTTCTCATCTATTTTCCCGACTTGTTTCCCAGGTGAGGTGCACAGCTTTGAGGCTACGGACAGTGACCCTGAACAGGCCCGGACCCTGGACGCCCAGTGCCCTGCTAATCGTCTCCTTCAGCTAAAGCTAGGGGCCCAGGTGAGGGGGAAGCAGGGCCTAGACCTGGGAACTTGGGGTACCCCATGTGGCCTTCCCCTCTGCCTGGGCAGCTCCTCCACCATTATGACTGTGAGTCCCTCCCTCTATGCCCAGCCCCTCCTGTCTCCAGCTCTCCCTGCCTCCTTCCCTCTGTCCCCTGGAGCTCCAGGCAGGGGTGCTTTGGACAAGTGCCTTTCCTATGAAGCTCAGTCTCATCTCTATAAAATGTGGAACCCCCCGCCCCTAGAGTGGCAGTCTTCTGCAATGTCCCCTAGAGATGTGAGAGTCCTGAGAAAATGGTGTCGAGGCCATCTCTGACCTCCTGGCTACACAGGGAGACCGGAATCCAAGTCCTCAGAGACAGGGATAGAAGAGGCATCTTAAGAAACTTCACTCCACCATACCACTAGAACCCTCTCTGCCAGTCTGTTCTCAAAGAGGCTCTTCTTCGTCCATTCCTTGCGAGCTCTCTGGAATCCTTGCCACCCCGCCGGCATGTCTCAGGCTGAGTTTGACAAAGCTGCTGAAGAAGTTAAGCACCTCAAGACCAAACCAGCAGATGCTGAAATGCTGTTCATCTACAGCCATTTCAAACAAGCTACTGTGGGTGACAAACACAGAACAACCTGGGGTGTTGGACTTCAAAGGCAAGGTCAAGTGGGATGCCTGGAATGAGCTGAAAGGGACCTCCAAGGAAGATGCCACAAAACTTACAAAGACAAGGTAGAAGAGCTAAAGAAAAAGTACAGAATATAAAAGGGGACTGGATGGGATGCCAGCCCAGCCTTTGATCCTATCAGATGTAACTACGCCTTGTTCTTTTTAATATTGCGGTTGAAGTACTGAAGATAACCAGTTAACCCAATCCCTCAAGCTGTCCAAGATAGGACTTTCCCAGATGAAGAGCAAAAAATGGTTACTAACATTATTTGTAGATCAATTAAAAGTGAATTTGCAACTCAAAAGAAAAAAAAAAAAAGAAAGAACCTTCACTCCACCCCAGGTCTCAAGGACATCCAGTGGGGAAAAAGCAGGAGCACTGAGGCTGGGGAAGAGGATGGCAAGGCCTGGGGCCTATCCCTTAAGACTCCTGGCCCACATACATCCCCCATAACAGATCTTAGTATGTTCAAAGCATGTGATGTCTGTCACCTCGCTGATTTTTACTACATACTTTGGACATGTTATCAGGAGAGATCAGTTCTGGAGAAGGACATCATGGTTGGTAAAGTAGAGGGGCAGCACAAAGGTGGAAAGCCCTCACCAAGATGGACTGGCACATGGCTGCAACAATGGCTCAGACATACGCACAACTGTGAGGCTGCTGTAGGTCCAGGCAGCATTTCGTTCCGTGGTGCATAAACGGTTGCTATGTGTCAGAACCGACTCGGGGGCACCTAACACCACTACCACCTCCTCTAAGGAACATAGAGCAAACGGTATTCTCCTTTGACAACAAGCAGGAAACTGAGACCCAGGACAATAAAGCAGCTTCCCCAAGGGTAGTAGCCAGCTAGTGGCAGAGCTAAGGACAGGGACTCAAGCCCCCTGTGACAGACAGCTCAGTGCCCTGGAGGTGAAGCCAGGTGGCTCGCCATTCCTCCTTTTCTCTTTCCCTTGCAGGTAATGCTGCTGAAGAACCTAGCCGTGTCCCGGGGCCTGGTCAATGGGGCCCGAGGGGTGGTCGTGGGGTTTGAGGAGGGGAAAGGTAAGTGATGGGGGAGATGATGGGGAGGAAAGGCACCTTCTGGCCACCTCTGAGCCCTGAAGTGGATGACAGGTTAGCTTTCTCCATTGCCACCCCCAGGACTGCCCCAAGTAAGATTCCTGTGTGGGGTCACTGAGGTCATCCGTGCTGACCGCTGGACAGTACAGGTCACTGGGGGTCAACTCCTCAGCCGGAAGCAGCTGCCCCTCCAGCTGGCCTGGGCAATATCCATCCACAAGAGCCAGGTGAGCACCCTGGGTGTGGCATAGGGCTAGGCCACAGATAGGAGGAACAAGATGTGTTGCGGGTCTTGAAGGCTTTATGGAGTTAAGCTTGCCCTGGATGGAAAAATTCCAGACCAAGCAATTAATAAAACTTCTTTTAGTATATTTCCCACCTCTCCTCTCCCATCCTGGCCCCACCATTTTGAGCTCATACCAACCCATAGCCACTGAGTCGATTCTGATTCTGAGTGACCGTATAGGACAGAGAACCGCTCCACAGGGTTTCTGAGACTGTACATCTTTAAGGGAATAGACGGCCTCATTTTTCTTTCTTCTGGGAAGTGGCTGGTGAGTTTGAGTCACCAACTTTTTACTTAGCAGCCCCATGCTTAGCCCACTGCACCACTCGGATGCCCTGAGCCCCTACTAGATATGTCACATTTAATCCTTGTATATATATAAGAATTATATATAGTATGACATGTAGGTGTAATTATCATTCCCATTTTGCAGGAAAACAGGTTCAGAGAAGTTGAGTAACTTGTCTGTGGTCACACCGCTAGGAAGTGAATGGCAAAGTTAGGATTCCCCAAGTTGGTCTGTCCTAAAGCCTGAACGCTTTCCTTTCACCCGTGTTCTTCAACTCTTATCCGAGATCTGTAGGAACCCCTCCTGCTCAGACACCTACCTGCTGGCAGCCCTTCCTCCTGATTCCAGCATCTCTGGACTGGAGTGAAGAGCCAGGGGCTGCAGCTGGGCTGGAGAAGGTAGGGTCAGGCTCACTCTCGGCCACCAGGGGCTTCCAGCTCAGGTGGCTACATTTCTGCCTCTCCACCCACTAGGGGATGTCCCTGGATTGTGTGGAAATCTCTCTGGGCCGAGTATTTGCCAGCGGCCAGGCCTATGTGGCACTCTCCAGGGCCCGTAGCCTGCAGGGCCTACGTGTGCTGGACTTCAACCCCACGGTGGTGTGCTGTGACCCCCAAGTGCTGCGCTTCTATGCTGCCCTGCCTCGGGACGGGGGGCTCAGGCTGGTAATGTGATTCACCCAGTGTTTTGCTGTGTGTCTACGGCTGGGCTGGGAGTTAGACTGAGAGAGGTCCAATGGGACTCTGGGGCAGGCCTAGCAGAGCTGCCTGTTGGCTCCTTTGTGGATGGGGTGAAGGGAAGGACAGCTGGCTTCAGGGCAGCCAGGGGAGCAGCACCTCCCTGACTAGTTTCTCTGATCCAGGAGTCCCCAGATGATGAGGCAGCCTCGGACCAAAACATGGACCCGAACCTCTGAGCTCAGCCCTAAAGAGAAGACAGAGGGGGTCTCCCCATCCTCCTGCTCCCACTGAGAAGCCTGGAGGTTGGGGGAGGGGGGCTAGAAGGGTGGCCAAGGCCCCTTCCTCCCTTCTTCAGGGGGCTCTGCCTCCTGGCAGGGCTGAAGGGAGAGTGCTTCCCTCAGTTTGCCAGCAGCCTATTCCCACCTCTTCCCCGGGTGAACTGCTTTCTGTGGCAGCTAGGAATGGGCTTGTAGTGGCACCAAGTGTCAGAGGACAAAGCTGTGTGGGCTGGCCATAGGACACATGGTTTCCCACACTGCGGCTGCAATGGAGAGAGGCCAGATACTGCCTAGCCCAACATTGCCCAGACAAGCACTTCCTGGGCCTAACCTGATCTTATGCACGACAAGTGAATGCCCATATTTCAAGCTGCTTTTGTTGGGGTGCAGGGACAAGTATTGAGGACATTGAAATGTATTCTATCAGATTGTATTTATTTAAGCAAATAAACTTGTGAATTGTGTAAGTACTTTGACTCTGAATCTGCGCTGCCTAGACTCTGGTATGTCCATGCCAGGAAGGCCTGGTGTCTGTTTCTCTCTCACAAGCAAACCAAGTCGTCGGTTTACATCATGCTGGCTCTGAGTACAGCATCCTAGGTGAGGGTGTGTGGCTCGGGAAGGTGAGGTATCTGAGGTGGGTGACTGGCAGTGAGATGACGGTGTGAATCACGCCCCAGTCATCAGCCAGGCACACATGAGAGAAAGCATGTGGGAAGACACGGGCAGCAGCCAGAGGCAACCCTGCAAGAAAGCGCTTGGCCTTGGTTGAGGTGGTCTCGGTCTGGCCTTCCCAGAGCTCCAGCTTGAAAAGTAACAGGGCCAGGATCGCCCACACGTCCACTTCCATTCATCCGAAAGCCGATGGGTGTGGGGCAACTGAAACCTTCACTATCCATTGTTGGTGGGATTGTAAAATGGCATCGCTTCATGGCAAAGAGTCTGGCAACTGCTCAAAAAGTTAAACAGAGCTACCATATGACCCAACAATTCCATCCTCCATATATACCCCAAGGAAATTAAAGCAGGAACACAAACAGATATATAATCCCCAATGTTACACTGCAGCCTCACTCACAATAGCCGTGGATAAACCAGAGGTGGTACCCCACCTCCAGGAGTCCCCCTTTGAGCCAAATGACAGACCACCTTGCCGGCAGAACCACCTGCTCTGAGTCATGAGGTGGCAGCATTCAGCTAGATGAGAGCAGACGTCAGCATTGGGCCAAAAGCACCGACAAGAAGGTAGCAGTAGGACAGCTAGGTCAGAAGGAACAGAACAAGCAGGTGGAACTGCTGACACACTGAGAAGATTGTGACAACTTGCATAAAAATTGTTAAATGGGAGCCTAATTGGCTATATAAACCCACCTAAGATACTACTTTTTAAAAAAGGTGGTATATGAGAGTGCACCCCCCAAATGGAATTTTTCTCTCACAGCTATGTATTTAAGGTTTTTTTACATAACAACCTTATCACCTTCAAAGTATTCTCCATTACACTTAATACACTTGTCAAACCTGCACTTCCATTCTTGGAAACATTCTTCAAACTCATCTGGATGGCTGACTGTCACCTCCCTCATTTTTCCTTCCCCTCGTCTACGTCTTCAAATCGCTGTTCTTTCAGGTCCTTCTGCGTTCGCGGAACAAAAAGAAGTCACGTGGAGTGAGGTCAGGTAGTCAGGTGCGTGAGGCAAGAGAGGAATGCTGTTTTTTACCCAAAACTGGCACACTGAGATGGCTGTGTGAGCAGGGGCATTGTCATGGTGGCAAAAACAGTCCTCCATCTGCCACAAGTCAGACCTTTTTTGTCGCACTATGTTATGCAATCTTTTCAGAATCTCTAAATAGAAAGCCTGATTGACAGTCTGACCTGGTGGAATGAACTCCAAATGCACTACGAGTCAACATTTTCATCCATTCAGGAAGTTGATGTGCAGAACAAGGTTTGTCATCAATCAACATTTCACCTTTTTTGAAATGAGAAAACCACTCGTACGTTTGAGTTTTTCCCATAGCACGGTCCTTGTAAGCTGTGTTCAACAACACAACAGTTTCTTCGGCACTTTTCCCGAAAAGGAAATAAAATTTCACAGTTGCACACTGTTCTCTTAAATCTGTCATCACAAAAAACGAGGGTCAAGCGAAACTGCTTTTACAAAAATACTGTGACCAGAGAGAACCTTCCCAGGCGACGCCACCGGATGCACTGACTCAGAGTGAGTTGCTTGTTGCTCACCTAGAAGGAAAAATACATGTACTACAAAAACTAAGCTATGCCCAGCGCAATTCCAGTTTTTTGGGGGTACCCCTTTGTATGCATACAATGGAATCAATACTCAGCCATAATGAAAAATGAAGGTCTATACATGCTATAACATAGATGAACCCTAAAAATCTAGTGAGTGAGATATGTTGGTCACAACTGGGCAAAAATAGACAAGCAAACAGATAAAAACTTATTAGTGGTTATAAGGAGTAGATGGGGGAAAGGGAAATGAAGACATAAGTTGAGGAGAGCTCTGGTAGCCTAGGAGCCCTGGTGGCACTGTGGAATAAATATTGGGCTGCTGACCACAAAGTTGCTGGTTCAAACCCACCAGGCCCTCTGGGGGAAAGAGGAATCTATCCACTCCTGCTAAGATTAGTTGATGGTAGTGGGCTTGGGCTTTTGTAAGGGTGGTGGGAGGCACCCTGGTGGCATAAGAGTTAAGTGTTCAACTGCTAACCTAAAAGTCATTGGATCAAACCACCAGCCGCTCCTCAGGAGAAAGAAGTTGTAGCCTACTTCTGTAAAGATTTCAGCCTTGGAAACCCCTTGGGGTAGTTCTACTGTGTCCTGGGAGGTTGTAATGAGTCCGAATCAACTGATTTTTGTTTTGTTTTAACAATTTTAAAAACTGAATGAGATGGGAATTTACATTTCAGATTACCAACTTGTATTCAACAGTCCAAACCACTAGTCAAACCCTCCAGTACCCACTCCCACTTAGTCTCCACCCCTCTTCCCTTGGCATGGATACTATGCTCCATTTCACCTGCCAACACTCGTCAACTGCCCAGCTCATTATCCTGTTCCCACTCACCTGGGTTCTGAATCAACTTGAACAGAGTTGGTGAATGTGGGAGGGGGAAGGGAACATTAGAACTGATTGCGATCATGTACATATAACTTAAAAAAAAAATTATTACCCCGGAAGAATTTATTTCAGAGGACAACACTGAAGCTGTAGCTCAGGGAGAGGGACATGTCTGACCAGAGCACATGGGAGCAAATGAAGAGGGAGGAAGAGAGAGTGGAGCACATCCTGGCCCACCAAGCCTTGAGGGCGATATTCCTACTCAGAGCAGCTAATCCACAGAGAAGACCATATGGCCGGCCCCACTATGAGACATGATATAGTGTCTCACTGACCCATAGCCCTACAGGGTACAACACTGGACACACAGTGTGGGAAATGAGCCCGATCTGACCCCACCACACCGAGGCAAAACACTAAGGGCGTGCAACAGAACAGCAAGGGGAACAGAGCAACAATGTCCCCAGGGAATACCAAAGGTAGACTTTGGGGCCAGGGATTGGGACCCCATCAGACTCGACCGGAAAACACTCCTAAAGGCCAACAAACAGTCCTTGAACTATCTATAGGCTTTTCTTTTCTTTTTGTCATTGTGTTTATTGTTGTTTTGTTTTCTTTCGTTGCTTGGTTTTGCTCTGTCTTATTTTTGTGCATGTTATTATCTCCGCAGGTCTGTCTAAATAAGATAGGCTGGATGAACAATCTGGAGGAGAAAACAATGGGACCAATGGTT